CCTAAACCCTAAACCCTAAACCCTAGCCGCTTTGCATCCTCGGAACAAGCGTGCGTGGCGGAAATGTCAAGAGTCGCAGGGGTCAGTCGTCCTGAGGACGCTATTCTCCCGATCTTCGTGAGGGCCTAAACCCTAAAACTAAACCCTAAACCCTCAACCCAAACCCAATTGCGTTACATCCAAAAATGTACGAGGTTGGGGGGCGGCAGCCCCCCATGATGCTTAGAGGAAGGATGATTGACTTGCATGATGTGTTACATCGAAAAAGCAGCAGGGGGTTGCCCCAGGATGTTTCGAGGAAAAGGGTTATGCTTTTTTTTGGATACGTTCACATCTCAAAATCAACAGATGGGGGGGGGGGGGGGCATGTCTTGGTGTCTAGTGCCGTGCACAATCCCCGCAGATCTTGCTGAGAAAAGTTGGAAGTGGGTCCTACAGCGGGCCCCGGCCAAGACACCATCGTGTGCTTTTTTGAAGGCACCGGAAAACATTGGACGAAACACGAAGAGGAAAGCAATCTCCCAAACCTTCCTGCGAAGCATTTGTACCGTAATCTTGTCAGGAGCACAACTCACATCCTGAATGACACAAGCCCAAAGCCCCGCTGCCATCCCAGTGACGAAACACCGCACTCCACGGAAACACGGGGAATGTTGAAAACACATCTGCGCCCCTAAACCCTAAACCCTAAACCCTAAACCCTAAACCCTAAACCCTAAACCCTAAACCCTAAACCCTAAACCCTAAACCCTGTAGCCCAAGGGTGTGAGTCCCTGGAGAGCCCCAATTTTGGCCAACCCACCTTCAAACCGACGGGGACAGCTCCAAGATTCCACCGGGCGACTTTGAGAACCAAAAGGGAAATCGATGGAAAATGACATCGATAACCACAGGCCCTGGCTTTTCTGCATGCAAATGAACGCCAAGCCTGATCCTCCTGCACCGGAGAACTGATTAGACACTCCAAGGAGTGCGAGAGACTTCTGCTCCCAAAAGCACCAACTAATCCTGATTCGTGACCCAATGTGATCATAGCTTGGCTTCGCCAATGAGTCTGAATGGAGCTTTGACGTTCAAAACGCTTGCAACGCGCAGCGTGATGCCAGGATCAGTGAAGACTAAGGCATTGTTCATGTAGTCTATCCAACCAATGCCAGAGTCAAAATACTGTGGGAGGCCCTGCGGAAGCTTATCCTCAAATCCAGCGAGGCCTCTTTGAGCCAGCAAAGAATATTTGAAGTACATCTCCTTTCTGTGCGTGTCATATTCAACCAAAGATTTCCAAAGCTCCTGATACTCCGCGCCCAATCCTCCATAGCAAATTGCTGTTAGATTGGCTGGAAATGAGAGCTGGGCGCCATCTATGCTCAGTGTCACTGTGCCAAGGTCGATCACGCGCACTTCATAGGCTGCATGCATCTGTTGAATCGTCCTGAAAGTTTTGGACCACAGCTCCGGGTTCTGCATTGAGTAATCGGAGCGGTATGCCCTGTTGTGGAATTTCAATCCAACTGATGCGAGCCATATCCACCATGGGTCGTCCATCTCCCAGTCATCCCAGCTTGAAAGTCTGGCAAGCACAGCCGCCAAAGGCTTCCTGAGATCATGATGGTACACTTCCCGTGGGTCTTCCTCCTCCATTCTAGCCGTGCGCATGTTTTCCACGCGGACATCGATGCCAAAGTCCTCTGACTCGTAACCGTGACCAGGTTGCCCAGGGAGTTGTCCCGTTTCAGCCGCTTCGACATAAACCTGAAGTCGCTCATAGGCTTGGTATCGTCGAACAAAAGACTCCTCGCTGCCACCGCGGTCAGGATGATGTATCAGCGCCGCCTCCAAGCCGTCTTCAGCATGGACTTGGAAATCTGACCATCTACTTCCAAGAGGGCCTTGTCCTCTTCAAACAATGTCCTGCCTGGCTTTTTGCTTTTCGGGACAGCGAAGCAGCCCAACTCTGGAACCCCAGCGAAGAGTGCAAAACACAAGCCCAGGAAGAGGTACGACAGCTATGCCATGGAGCCAAGGTGCTCTCACTAGCAATAAAGGGTTTAGGGTTTAGGGTTTAGGGTTTAGGGTTTAGGGTTTAGGGTTTAGGGTTTAGGGTTTAGGGTTTAGGGTTAGAACATGCGATGAAGTCTTACAGTACTTGCTGCTGGGTGTTGTCTTGCAAGCATGACAGCTTGCACGGGTTTATAAGGGTTTACATCACATCTTAAAAATACAGGGGATGGGGGGGAGGGCAGCAGCCCCCCACATGATGTTTGGAGGATGGTCGATTTGAATGCTGCGTGACATCTCAAGAGCCAGCGGAGGGGTTGGGGGGTGTGGCAACCCCCCATGATGTTTCGAGGAACGATGATTGATTTGCATCATGTGCTCTTAAACCCTAAACCCTAAACCCTAAACCCCAAACCCTAAACCCTAAACCCATTTGGGGGGGGGGGGGGGGGGGGGGGGCAGAGGTGGGGGTTATCAATTGCAGCAAAGCGAACAGCATCCGCGCCTTTTGCACATGCAAACGACTAGCCAGTCGTGCCAGCCGCCGTGCAAACGATGAGGCCATTTTTCAGCCCGCTGGTCCTTTGGGTTTAGGGTTTAGGGTTTAGGGTTTGGGGTTTGGGGTTTAGGGTTTAGGGTTTAGGGTTAGGGTTTAGGGTTTAGGGTTTAGGGTTTGGGGGTTTAGGGTTTTGGGTTTAGGGTTTAGGTTGGGTTTAGGGTTTAGGGGATTAGGGTTGAGGGTTTCTGGGGCTTAGTGTGCCACTTTGGAGAGTCGGGCACTTAGGAGAAAAGTGAAACTGCGGTGCCAGGTTTCGGATTTCTACTGGCCATTGGGTCATGCTAAACGCTCGCAACCTTTGTCAGGAGCAAGACAGATTTAAACCCAAAAGCCCAAAAACAAAACCGCTTCCCCGAAATCCTGTCACAGCCCAAGCGGAAACTCCATAATCATGGCCTGTAGGCCCAGAATAACAGAACGAATGGCACCAGGCTCCCCAGCAACGGCGAAAAAGTGGTACCCTTTTCTGATTCATCTGGCTTTGCACCCTAAACCCTAAACCCTAAACCCTAAACCCTAAACGCAGCCTTCAAAAACCAAGAAGAAGGGTACTGCCGAGCAACCGAGCGTCCTAGGGTTGCAAGTGGCCTCACGTATGATCATGAGGTTTAGAGACCCAGAACCCCTAAACCCTAAACCCTAAACCCTAAAACCCTACACCCTAAAACCCTAAACCCTTAGCCCTACAAACCTTAAACCCTAAAAACCTCAAATCCGCTAAAAGCATAAAACGTAAGCGAGTTAAGGAGCCCAAAGCTGTCGCTTCTTCCGCGCGAGCCGGGCTCAGTTCGCCTCGCGTTGTACCAGCGTGGGCCTCGGCTTTCTCAGTTCCCCTACCCAGGGTTTAGGGTTTAGGGTTTACAAAGGGTTTAGGGTTTATAAGGCTTGATAAGGCTTTATAAGGATTTATGAGGGTTTGTAAGGGTTTGCAAGGGTTTATAAGGGCTTAGGGTTTACAAAGGGTTTAGGGTTTGGGGTTACGGTCTGGACGGCCTACCTTTGGAATCCCAAAGCCCACTTCTCCCACTTCTTTGCGGGCTCTATCAGAAACATCTACGGTGGACAGGGCTTAGGGTTGAGGGTTGAGGGTCGCGGCAATTGCTGACCCGAAAAACTGGTTGAAATATTGCGGCCATCGGCACACCTCGCCTGTGAAATCAGGAAAGACGTGGGCCGCCAGAGCTAATCTTGAACAATACAGGTCTTCTATGTAATTTCTATAATATCTGATAATTTTTGTGGAATATAATCTTTATTATTGTTATTATAAGAGTAGTTACATGACCCCTTAGCCGCGGCTCTCCTGCGGCTCTCCTGGACCTCTCCCATGGCGCTGCCCCATCAAGACAAGCGCCCGCTGGAGAGAATCCAAGCCTAGACTTGAGGAAGTAAACCCTTAACCCTTAACCCTAAACCCTAAACCCTAAACCCTAAACCCTAAACCCTAAAATGTTTACGCCGGGTGGTTTGGGGTGGCGTGCCGCCACCGCGTTGTTGCGAAGCGACCCGGGCAGAGGGGCCGCTTAGATCGTAGGTGCGGCCCCGGAGCCCAAGAACGTTACCACACCCTAAACCCTAAACCCTAAACCCTAAACCCTAAACCCTAAACCCTAAACCCTAAACCCTAAACCCTAAACCCTAGAGTGTACATCCCTTTTGAGCCGATACCCTGACGAGCATGCAAAGTTGCAACATTAAGAAAATATTTCACTTACATTTATAAATTCAGGCGACAAGACAACAACCCTAAAGCCAACCCGGAAAAGAGCGGGCCTTGAACCCCTCTGAGCCCTAAACCCAGCCCATAGTGGGGCCTGAGCCCTAAAGCCCCTAAAACCAGCCCAGGCTAGACCCTAAACCCTAAAGCCAACCCAGAGTAGGCCCTGAACCCTAAAGCCAGCCCAGACCAGACTAGGCCCTGAACCCTAAAGCCAGCCCAGAGTGGGGCTTGAACCCGAAGCCAGCCCAGAGTGTACCCTAAAGTCAGCCCAGAGTAGGGCCTGAACCCTCAAGCCAGCCCAGAATAGGCCCTGAACCCTAAAGCCAGCCCAGACCAGACTCGGCCCTGAACCCTAAAGAGCCAGCCCAGAGTGGGGCCTGAACCCTAAAGCCAGCCCAGAGTGGGGCCTGAACCCTAAAACCACCTTGCCCAGGAACACGGCGACCTTGCCCAGTAAAACGGCAACCTTGCCCAGTAAAACGGCGACCTTGCGCAAGGCGTGAAAGAATGCGCGGTTTGTTTGTTAAATTTACTCGCCCGTACAGTTCGTTCACTTAAAAAGCCCGACTAAAATATGCTGCATTGATTCTTCACTCACGCATAGCTGGACGTCTAGAGCATGCACCGCTTCAGTTTCTTCAGTCTCCCCAGACTACCCTACCCAACCCCAAACCCCAAACCCCAAACCCCAAACCCCAAACCCCAAACCCCAAACCCCAAACCCCAAACCCCAAACCCCAAACCCCCCCCCAAACCTCAAACCCTAAACCCTAAACCCTGACCCCTAAACCCTAAACCATAAACCCTAAGCGCTACAAAAAGAAGCTGCTGCAACGTGTGGCGGTGACGCCTGCAGATGCTGCATCTGAGGTGCCCAGCAAAGAGCCACCCAGCTGAGGATGCGCAGCCCACCTGGGAATGCATGAAAAGCGTTTAGGGTTTAGGGTTTAGGGCTTAGTTAAGCTTAGGGTTTAGGGTTTGGGAGTTTTTGTTTATGCCACCCGCCTAGCTTGGGGTTTAAGGTTTAGGGTATCCACTGTGTGATGTGTAGTTATGTCATACACCTGTTCACGTGCGCTGACCAAATCGCTGCCTTGTTGCGCAGACTTATGCAGCCAGCAACTATTCGCAAGCGGAGCGGTCTGTTTTTCAGCCAGCATCTGTGCTGGTGGCATAAAAACCACCGCCGGCTCCAGTGAAGCATTTATTCTTCACAGGTCGAGATTGGGAGGACAGTCCTCACTGAATGTTCTCAAAGGACTTGAACAATCCACCCAACCCCTGAACTCATCTTTCAGCTTTCAAAAAATCATCAGATCCGCCAAGAAATGGTGACTGGTGACATGTCGTCATGTCGTGTTGCAGGAGGGGAAAACCGGAAAACAACCCAAGCTGCGGTGCCAGGAAGCACAAGACAAGGTAAGGCATCCCTGTCAACAAAGCAAGCCCGGTTTTGCTTGCTGGTCATTTCTGGGAAAGGCTGTACATGACCTCTCTGCACTGACTCCCACCATACAGATCGTCACGAGTTGGTGATCTTTAAGAGCATGTCTGCATAGCAGTAAGCCCTGAACCCTTGGCCCCAAACCCTAAACCCTAAACCTAAACCCCAAACCCTGGCACCTTCAGGAGCTCACACAAAAAGTCTTTGGCTCGCTGTGTTCACCCTGCAGTGTGCCACTTTGATCCACCTTGGGCATCCGGGTGTGTATCACCGATGTTCCTAGGCATTGGGGTTGAGGGTGTAGGGTTATAGAAATTGTTCAGGGTTTGGGTCCCATTAACGTTTTGACCGAAAGTTTTGACCGGGTTTTGACCGAAAGCTTCTTTTTGAAAATTATATTTCAATTCCATTGTTGACTGGAGGGGAATGATACCACATATTTTTTTTGTTTTGTCTTGAGGGTTTAGGGTTTAGGGTCTAGGGTTTAGGGTTTAGGGTTTAGGATTTAGGATTTAGGGTTAGGGTTAGGGTTTAGTCCATCCATGAAACCATAGTTATGCTTGCCACACTTGCCACTCGATACGTCGACAAGAGATGACATGCCGTGAGGTCACCTGATACGAACTCTGTCGATGCATCCCTGTCCCTTGTCATATCTCATAACCAGCACTTGATGCGCACTATCAACCAACCCTAAACCCCAAACCCTAGACCCCAAACCCTTTTTTTTGAAGCTGGACTTGCTACCCTAAACCCCAAACCCCAAACCCTAAACCCTAAAGCCTAAACCCTAAACCCTAAACTTTGCCTTAAACCCTAAACCCCAAACACTCAAGCCGGCTGGTCCCCCAGCCCCCGGATGCACCGGCCTGGCTATTGGTGACGGCGACTCTCGGGATCCGGCATGGCGGAGAAAAGAAGCCTTACTAAACCCT